CCACACTCTGGATCTTACACACCTTTGCTGCACCTGGACTTTACGCAAATCTCACTTTATTCTGTCAGGTCAGAAATACAAAAATATTTTGAGTATAACTAGCTTTGCTCACCAAAGTGTCCTACTTCCATATTAAAAGTACACTTTGGAAAAAAAAGAAGATTCACTAATTAATTCAGTTTATTTCTAGATTTATTTTAAAGGCTTTAATTTTTGTAATCAATGAATTTTTGAAATGCTGGCTTTAAACAGTGCAGAGCCTTTTTTATTTGATGGGTTTCTAGGACAGAGAAAAGGACTACAGACTAGAAGGAATCTCAGGATCTAGTTTTAAAAACTTGCAGCAATTCTGCTTCCTGGACAGACAGCCTTGCACAGAATGCAGCTGCTCACAGGATGCCACTTCTGCCTTCCAGCAATTTGTGCAATATGTTCCATTTTTGGTTCAAACGGCAGACAGTTAATGCATTCAGCTACTTCAAGTGGGTCGGTTTTACCATCCTCACAGAATCAAAGGCATGTCCAGACCCAAGGCAAGCCTCCCTGTCTATTTACAAGTTAGCTCATTTCTTCAGTGGGTGCCCTTCCAAACACTCTGGCAAGAACCAGCAAACTCGTGACACCACCTAGATGCCTGCTGGTTGTCTCCCAGGGGAGGTACAGTGGTAGCCCAGGAAGTCACTTGAATTCTGTCCAACTGTATGGTTTAGATAAGAAGTCCAAAATGTTGTATGAACAGGTTCTCCCCAGACAGGCCAAGGCCACTGGTAAAAAAGTATAAGGAAAATAAAAACAGACTTGCTCAACAAAAAATGCAAACAAAAATAGCCTCCCAATGTGTGCAGCCTTTTAATAGATGACCCCTACCACTTTCTCAAATGCTTCATTACTCTTTACTATATACATTCCAAAGATGATGTATATGGTAAATAGTTCGGCATTGGCGCTACATTATACGTAGCACATAAGATTAGCTTCTCTTTGTACAATTTTACAGATTAAAAAGTTTGATGAGGGAGGGTTGTACATCATGGCGTTACGAGTAGGTCTGAGATTGGCATGATTCTCGGAAAGAGCTGAGTCACAGCTTTTTTCTCACTCAAGGCACACAGAGAGAACAGAAAGAAGTTGAATGTACTAATAAAGATACACACAGGTACGGACATTTAAGTTCTACAGGCCCAAGGAGAGTAGGCTCTTGTACCAAGGCTTTCCCTCTAGCAGGCCTTCTGAAGAGACGTAATTTAAGGTGGACAGAGACTATTCTAAGAACATGGTGGAGTTCCAGACTGAGCAACACAGAGCTGGTAACCTGAAATTTTAAGAAGTGAAAGGTAGAAGTCGGGGGAAGAGCTGACCCTGCAGAACTCACCGCAGCCTTCTCCAATCTACCCCACCACGGCCTGCACAAGGAACAGAAACTATTCAGGGCCAGCAATCAATGGCAGCTAAAGGGATTTTAGCACTTGCGGTTCCTCTACAGAGCAGAGTCATACATACTTCCCCTTAGCCCAAAGCAAAACAAGGTCTTATCCCTCAGTATCTGCTGATGTCCTGGTCTACATCTTAACCTGGAAAAGAAGAGGAAAAAGCTATTTCTAAAACACGGGCTGATTTTCAAAAACCTTGTGTTGCTGTCTTACAAAAAGTCGAAGGGAGAAGAAGCGGGCGGAGCCCCAGGCTGCATCCTGAGCCCAGACGCACTGGCCCTTCCAACAGCAAGTAGGAGGAGTGCTGCTTGCTCTGGAGGCACACGCTCCAGCATCAGCATTCTGAGGAGCAGGAGAGATCCAGCTCAGCAGCATCCGTGGCAGAGTTCACCTCTAACCCCGGGGCTCTCACAGCCTTTCACTGCCTTTCTCCTTCGCTCAGTGTGCAGGGATTACACTTTGAGTGGAGGAAATGCTTGTCTCTTTTCTCCAGCTGTGCTGGGAAGGGATGGAAAGCTGCTTATCCGGAGGAGGGCAAGAAGGGCTAAGAAACTGGCCTGAGCATCTTCAAGGGGTTGTTCCGCTGATCCCAGCGCTCTTTCTTCAAGATCCCCTTAACTAACACAGATTTTCAACTATGGCTGCAACATGAGCCCCGAGGAGCTTCTCTGTTCAAAAGAACTTGGAATACTCTCCGTCCGGCTGCTGGCATCCGGGTACTGAGGGTTTACTTTTCAGTACTTTTTGTTTTGAAGCCAGCAGGGCAGGTACAATATTTGTGCATTTCGCAAACTCCTTGGGACGCCTTCTTCCCCACCTGTGAGTGTGTCGGTGTTTCATGAGCTCAGTACAGGCATTATTCAGCAGTGCACAGACAGTGCATCTTAATCACTCCCCGCAGTGCTAAACAAGAAAAACTCAATCCAAAACTCTTAATTTTCTAAGGGAAAAAATTCAACTTCATTTTTATTGATCATGAGTTCTTTTAACTGATTTTTCTCATGCCTTCTAGTACTCTTCTGAGCATCTGAACTTGCATCAGATCGGAGTTATTAACGTGCTCTACCAACACCAAAACCCAACCACCCACTGACTTCTCTCTCTCCCTACACGAGCGACTCCTCAAAAGAGTCGGCCACAAACCAGTTAGATATCCAAAAGCCAAGATGGCACCCAGATCAGTTATCCCTTTCTCCTCTTTGCCCTACTTACCAAATAGGGCCAACCTAGATCAATCCTTAATACCGCACCTAGCTTTACAATTCTGTAATTCTGAAACTTCTTCAGACAAGGATAAGATAAGAGAATGCTCTCTCCCTCCATAATGTTCAGGCTGTGAAGCATCCTCATCCATCTATGTATCCGGGCCAGAAGCCTGGGAATCACTTTCAACGTTTCCATATTCCTCATCCCATAATGACCAAAAACTGCTGCTGTGGCTCCGAAATGTATCTTGAATGTGATCACTATTTCTATCCCCATTTCTTTCTACCTCCTTCAACTTCCCATGGCTTTGCCTGGAGAGTAGGCTCTTGTACCAAGGTTTTCCAGCCTTTGATACTTCTCCATCTCCTATCAGGAGAAGACCAGAATAACCTTTACAAGACGCACGCATGGAATTTCATCATTCCTAGTTTAAAACTGACCCTGGGCCCCCACTGCTCCTAAGGCTGTGTTCCCAAGCCTTAATGATGTGGCAGATGCCAGGTTTTCTCAGTTTTTTCATAGATGGAACCCTTTCCCGTATCTTGGCTTTCTCATTTGCTCTTCTCTGTCTAAAATAGTTCCTTCTAGGGCTTCTTACACCCCAAAACACACACACACACACACACACACACACACACACACACACACACACACATTCTCTTTTGCCTGCCTACTTCCTATCCTTTCTTAAAGTTCAGGTTCAATGCCGTTTTCTTGGAGAAGCTTTCCCTGGCCACCTAGAGAAGGTACTTTATGTAACTCTGCTCAGTGTAACTGTATCTTATTTACATTATTGACTCTCTAGTGTTTACGTGTCCCCAGCACGTAATCTCCACAAGGACATGAGAGCACACCTCTGTGTTGATTCTTGCATCCTAAGACCCATGACAGAGTTTGATACTTAGATTCTTCAGAAAGAAAATGGGAAAAGGAAGGGGTGAGACAGAAAGTATTCACAACCCTGTAGCATGCCTGTATTTCTCACCCACTTTTGATGATGCTGAAATGACAAGATATAGAAGTGAAGTGATAAGAGATAAAATATAAAGATGAAGGTAGGAATGATGAGCAAAGTAAAAGGTCCACTAGAGGATGCTTTCAGATATCTTTAAAAACAAAAGTAACAGGACTCAGGTTTTTTAGAAAAGTTGGTATGCTATCTTCTATTTTTAGCTCTAAAATGTTCCACATGGAGATAACAGTGCAGAAGAAAGGAAAATATGTAAAATGGAGGGGAAAAATAAACTTAGCATTCATGAACCTGGCTTCCTCCTCTACAAAGATGTAAAATAAGGTGACCCTGGAGGTGTCCTCTGGCTCCACGTCCTACGACGGGCCTTTGTGATGACCCAGAACCCATGCAACACACCACGCACAGCCACCAGCAGCGTCTAAGCAAAACCATAGCACGTTCCCACACACATTCGAACAACACCAATCGGAATCCTTCAGAGCCCACTATGAAAATGTCATTGTCTGAGAAGCGAAGATGTTCGCCCTGGTGCAATGAGAAAGTCACTTCAGAATTAAACTTTCGTGAAGAAACAAGTGCTAAACAAGGTAGCTATCCTCTGAGCACAATAATTTAAGGATGTGTAACTAAACTGATCTGGCAAGAGCAACTCAGAAATACAAATATCAAGTACTCTGGACCTACCTTGCAAAACTTTTTTTTCAGTTAAAACATAATTTTTCAAGTAACACTACAGTTTCCTTCTGCCAAGTATGTTTCAGACATTGGTATTTCCCATTACCTCCCTCTCCTCCCTCCCTTTCTCCCTCTCCCTTTTTGATCTCATTTTGTGGTAAGAAGATAGACTACAGAGACACTCAGAGACAAGCAGAATTAGGATGCAAATAAATGAACTGACTGGGCAGCTTCAGAGATCATTGCTCATGAAACAGATGCTAAGTTACACCCATCAGAGTAACAATTATAATACACAACAAAAAGGCAGACAGATCTCATGAAGCAAACTGGAAGCAGTTTGTTTTGTTGGCCAAAGCCAATGATGGTTCTATTAGTGTATAAACTTCTACAAATAAACTGAAGGATGATTTATGTTCATCGTAAAATTTGCCAACGTAGCCACTGCTATAAATTTGGTGGATTTAGTCAACGTGGCTGCTCAGAGTGGAAAGGCACAAGCTAATAATTCTCCTTAGAGAATTTCTCGGAGAAATAGTCCAGGGCTCAAAAGAACCATAAATCTGTTCATTAGTACAAGCCAAATTTACATGAGACTAATTGAGGAGTCTTTTCATTAGTAGTATGTGCCAGAACAACAAATGCACAGGCATTAAAAGAATAACCAAGATCAGAATTTCACATTAACATCAAATAATGTTTTCCAGACTACTTACATCAGTGTCGGGTCCCTTATCTGCACCCGGACAAGAAAAAGTAACAAATTCATGGCACCTCTTGTGGACCACAAAACAGCAAACTGGTGGAGAGAAAAGAAAATGAAAATTAGAACGCTCTAGATTTAATATATGAGCTCTGTTTACCAAACAGGGCTACTTACTGTTAGGAGTTATATTAACCTTAATATAGATAGAAGCTTATAAACATTCATCAAAGGTATTTCATTTAAAAATCAGCAACATTTTGTATTGATTGGATTTACAGACAATAGTCACAAGATACCAGCGCTCACAGGAACAGAGGTGACCAAAATTATGGCTCCCTACTGTCTTGAGTTAAGATTTAAAGACAGTTTCCTGAACAGAAATAAAAAATGTATAGTATTTTGCACTTTTCTCTCTCTCTCTCTCTCTCTCTCACACACACACACACCACTCTATGTAAGCATTATATATCCCGTGAAAAAATAAAAATTAAATATGAAGAGAACACACACACACACACACACACCCCTCTATGTAAGCATTATATATCCCGTGAAAAAATAAAAATTAAATATGAAGAGAACAACTTATTATAAATAACGTATGACTATCCCTAACTGTGGGCTGCAGGGCTTCTTCCGCAGAATTTTGAACATAAAGAACTCATTATGATACTAGCCCAGTCTATGGACAACAATCTGTCAAAATGAAAAACAGCTGGGGAGCAACCTGGGCTCTTCTAGACTAGCACTCGCCTATTTGGTACAGATGCTGTCACTAGTTGGGAGGATCCCTACAAAGAGAGCAAAGTCTACTACAAAGCAAATATTTTCCAAGTCAACATGGTTTTGGTAACTAATCCTGAAGATGAATCAATAGAATAATTTAATTTTTAAAAGAAATGAGTAAATAATCCCTAAAGGGTTTTCTCAAACAGCATAATAGGGAGGACACAAAAATAAATGACCTGGTGTTTCCTTCAAGAGTAACCTCTACCATACTATTGGTGTAGAGTAACAGACACGCCAACAAATAATATACCCTCAGAAGTACAACCGTGGGGAGGCTACAGGCCATGAGCTTTTAACCATCATGGGTGGGATTAATGATACTACCCAGCCCCAGGTATTCCATTACAGCAGCAGAAAGGAACTAGGACACTGCACAAAGAGGACTAGCCTTCTCAGATTCTCGGCTCATGCACTGCTTTCCTCTCTCCCTCATGATAAAGCAACGCTCTGCACATGCGTTGGTAGATGGAGTTTCAAGAGGTTGAGTCACGTCAGTGGGTGGGAAAGAACAGCAGGTTTGCTGAGAGCTGCAATCCCAAGAGGAGACCAAGTACTAAGCCAAGTACTGAGAGACTGTGTAGAGGGCCTTGAGTGGCCATGAAGAAATACACCATATCGCGGATAAACACTGGAAGCTACAGAAAGGTTTTGAACAAAGAGTAACACACACAAAGCAATGATTCAGAAAAGCAAATCGGGGAGTGATAGGAGGAATTTAAAGATCCAGTCAGAGGCTTCTTGCATAGTCTACGGACAAAAATAATTGCCCATTGTTACTCAGGCTGCTAAAAAACAGAGGTAATGATAGCACAGAAACTGCAGAACTGATGATACTTGCGGACTGACCACCCATACCATGTAGGGAGCATCTTACTGTATGCTGGGCAGTTTGTTAAGTCCCCTCATACACATTATCAAATTGAATCCTCATAGCAACACTATTTAATACGCCTTAATACCCATATGTTTTTGATGGGAAAATACTGAATGATCCCTAGAGTCCAGCATGCCGTAAGAATACAATGAGCATTTCTCATTGAGAGAGGAAAGGTGGCATGGACAACAAAGGGATGGACGGGGAGACTAACGGGAGGGTCTTGTCTGAGGTCACCCACGCACTCTGTAGTTGAGCCAGGATTCATGAGGTTTGCTCAGCTCTAGCCTCTTTTCCTCCCACTGTGTCATATCCACTCACGGGATTTCCAGGGCAAGAAAAAAAATATTAGAGCTGATGCCAAGACTTTTCATATGGGTGATAGGAAAGGATACATAACAGCAAAGGATTTACATATGTACACACACACTTATATACACTCAAAGGATGAAGACGTGGGTTTGCCATAGTATGGAAGTAGAATCAGGGATGATTTCCTTTCTCAGAGTTATCTTGTAAAGTAGCCAGTGCCGGGGATATAGCTCAGTGGCATAAGCGCTTGCCTGGCAAGCCTGAGGTCATAAGTTCGATTCCTGGTACCAAGAAAAAAAGAAATAGGCCTAGCTGAGAAATAACTTTCTAAATTACGGTACCCATCTCTTGAGTAAAGTAGCCGTAATACAATGCCACTGTAAAAAGCATACTTTCTTTAAAAAAGTAATGCACCTTTAGCAGTGAGTAAGCAAAAAACTAAATGAATAAACAGGAACTACCCACGGAAAAGTTAATACATGAAAATCTTTTCCAGTGATCATCCTTTCAGAAGTGAAGCTGCTCTGGGTGCAGATTCTCTCGGGCTGCCACAGACTGTCTGCTGGGCCCCCACCCGCCTGCCCGGCAGAGGCAGCAGCAGGAGGAGAGGGGAAAGCAGAGACGCCCCCCTGGCTGCCAAGCAGAGCTGAGACAAGCAAAGGGCAGTGCCGCTCCTAGGAGCCCTTAGAGGGGTGTCCTTTCAGCCTTGCTTCTGCCAAATGCATCCTGATTGCAAAACTCTCCAAGGATGGATTTGTGCTGGGAAGGCACAAATGAATCTGATCTGCTTGCTTCCCCAGACACAAAGTCATCTCTCACTCACTGGGATTAGAAAGATCAATTACTAAAGGGAAGAGGTTACAGCAGCGTGATTCCCTCATCAGAGTTTATTATGGAGACGGTGTTTTGAAGGAAAAATAAGCATTCCGGTTTTCTACTCAATCATTCAAGCATCCAGGTCTTTCTCTCCTTTTTTTTTTTTTTTAAACTATCTCTACCTTCAGAGGAATACCATTAAGAAAACCCATATTTATCAAATCCCCTCAGAATGACAATTTGGGTTTGTATATGTCACTTCTATTTGCATTTACACATCAATGCAATTACACTAGCTGCAAGTGTTTCTATTTACATCTCAAAACATTCTCTTACTGCAAATTTTCTCTTGAAAATGAACCCGGCCCTTGTTGCCCAGTATAGTTTTCAAGGGCAGCAAATTCTCCACCTACCCGCAGATTACTCCCTCCCACAGGCCTCAGCAGCCCCCTCCCCCTCTTCCTCACACGGACGCTTCCCCTTTCTATGAATGGATTCATTCAACAGGAGGCAGACCCAGGGTCACGTGTTTGCAGAGTCCTCACAGGGTTCTCTGAGTTGGAGAAATACCCTTTAAGCCTGTCAGAAAATTCATGGTTTAGAAATGACTTATGTCCAGACGAAGCAAGAAAAGAATCTGCCTGTGCCTAGGCGAGAGATTCCACTGTTGCCTTCTCTCATCCCCATCCTCAGAGAGGGAACAGGGAAAAGGACCTTGGAGTTGGGCATGTAGCACTTGCCCAAGAAAGGTTGTCCCAGAAAACTGGGTAACGGCCAGAGATTCCAAAGCCACTGATGGCTGGCCTTGACCTTTGGTTTCAAGTTATAAACTAAATAGAATAATGCATAGTTTGTAATAAGACAACACAATTAAAACATTTGAGTAGCCTTTCCAGAGCAGTGGGAGAAAAAGAAGAAAGCTAGCTCCGTAACATAAGAGAATGTACTTGGCTTACATGGAGATGGCCAGCTTAGGTATTCTGCTGGCTTAACACTGTGCAGTAGTATTTTTAACATTTTATTTTAAAGTTTAAAGGAATCCACATTGCCATGCTATATGGAGCAAAGGGAGTTGGGGAAGAGGGGGAAAAAAGGTGGTATCTGTCCCACGGCATGCCTTCAGTTAGTATCTGCCTGACTGTACAAGCAGGAAGGCAGATTAAAGACAGCCGCCACTTGGCTGAATGGAAGAGGAGACACAAACCAAGGCAGATTCTTCGTGCTCCATGGTCTCTCTGAGACCAGACTCTCGGCCATGAAAACACCTGTTAGGAAATAAAGGCTGCCCAGTAACCCATATGAGATGGAGACTCATTTTCAAAGACCATGGGTCACCTGTGTTTGCATAAACAAACGAGAGGTTTCAAAATAGGAAGCTATCTTGTAGCTTAAAGACACAGCGTGATTCATTCCATGGCTTTCTAAGAACAAAACCACTTTCCTCTAAGCCTCTGCTTGACATGCGTGTGCTTCCAAACAGTGATGTATGACACATGCAAGGCTCAAATCACACTGAGCACGTGAAGCGATGGGATGGAAAAGCAGGAGAGACCGCAGGTGTGAAGAAATAATGGTTCTTAACAGGACCAGGCTTTCAAACTGGAAACAGTCTGGTTATCCCTCTCACTTGCTAATCTTGTTTATGGAAATACATAACGGGAATGGAAATGAAGGAGAATTTTCTCCATCTGTCCGAAACACAACAAATAATGTTGACTCAGGAATTCACAAAAATTTCAAATAAAAAAACAGGAGTGTGTCATGTTGATAGCAACAGGTGTTCAAATCATGCCTCTTACTTTGACAAGAACAAAACTCAGCTCAATGAAAAGGTGTGCTGACAGCAATCAGCATGCGTGCAGCAACACTCCCTCTGATGCTGCTCTTTCCATGAAGGTGAGAAATGATTGTCTACAGTGGCCCATTAGATTCTTGTAGGGGCTTGAGAGTTGTTTCTCTGCCGTAAGTCATCACCATGTTCACGGATGCTTTGGGGATCTTGCTTCTGGACACTGTATCCTAGAGAGTCCCTGATTCATGTGAGGAGGTCTACCAAAAGAAGAGTATGGTACAGTGATGCTCAGAGAAAGGAATCAACTACAGCAGAGCGCTTCCTCATCCATCAATGCAAATTCCTCCCGAGGGGTGACACCAGCACTGACCAGACATAAACCAGTAAGTGATGCAATGGCTCTGACCTACGGGAAAGGCTCAGTTAAAAGTACTTAATCGTCATTTCCTATCCATTAGGGTGCCAGTTATTTCTTTAAAAGAAGGGAAGAACAAAAAGGTAGAATGAAAA